ATCGGAAGAAGATATGCAAATGCCCATGGAATTTGCATATCCTCTTTTGAAATAAAAACATGGTCTAGACATGCGCTGAGGCTCCCTGCAGTGTCTGCTGATCAAATCTGGCCCAGGGCTGTACTTTGCTCAGGCCTGGGCTAGAGGCAGTCAAAGGGTGACTGAGGTGACGCTGTTGAGTAGTCAAGAGACACAGAATTGCATTTGTCAATCATTTCCTGTACTGTGGAATTTGCATATCCTCTTTTGAAATAAAAACATGGTCTAGACATGCGCTGAGGCTCCCTGCAGTGTCTGCTGATCAAATCTGGCCCAGGGCTGTACTTTGCTCAGGCCTGGGCTAGAGGCAGTCAAAGGGTGACTGAGGTGACGCTGTTGAGTAGTCAAGAGACACAGAATTGCATTTGTCAATCATTTCCTGTACTGAGAGTTTTCATTTCTTTGCACACAAGGCTCTTGGCAGAATAGGAGTGCCTCATGCATCATGGTAGGGCTAAATTCATTTTTAGAACTTTATTAAAGGAAGAGCTCCTCTCATGTCAAATAGCGTCTTTAAATAATTAAGGCCTGAAATAACCGAGAATGTATGAAGTTGCTATGGCTTATTATTTTACTTTTCTAGGGGACAGATGATTTCTGGTGAAGACTGTGAATTTATTCAAAGATTTGAGCAGAAGAGGAGCCCAGAAGAAAAGCAAGAAATGTTGCAAACTGAAGGCAGTCAGGTAACCCAACTTCCTTTTACATTTTTTGGGGGGGAAAGAGGGGAACTCTTGACATGTTAACTCTAATGAAATGTTTGAAATATGTGTTGTTACACTTTTTAGCAAGTTTTAGCAGGGCTTTAGACACATCAGTTGCAATTGAATCTTTGTGAAATAAAAATTGGCAATTACGTTGACAGGCTTTTTAAATTTTTAAATGTGCTCAGCTGGGATGAGACCAAAAGGAGCTGGTAAAGCTTTACATGTTTGTTTTCTGATATGATTGGGGGCATTTTAGTACAACTTCTTAAACTCAGATGAATGGAATTTGAATTTTGAGGTGTGTCTAGTGCATGTAGTATTTAAATAGCTTAATGTAAATTACACTGTTTGCATAGGGACAGGGTAGCTATTCAAGGTGGTACATTAAACTAACACAGCATTGTCTGAAATAGTAGCCCTAAGGTTACATAGACTGTAAAGAGCAGTGGTAAGTTTTTTTTTTTTTTTTTTGTGACTCTTCCTAGCTTCACCTCAGCCTTATCCCCCCTTTTCTCCAGATGCTTGCTTTCATGTTCTTTTCAAGTAATAGAAAACATGAATCTCTAACTCTAGCAGTTTATGAGATTATATGATTTCCATAACACATGATTAAATTGTAGGGTTGTCAGGTGTCCAGTACTGACCGGAACAGTCCAATATTTTCGCCTGCTGTCCAGTAAAAAAAAAATTCAGAAAATACCAGACACTTGGCAACCTTACAACACACTCAGCAACTGGGCCCAGCCCCCGGCCTCCCGACACCCGCTGCCCCTGGATATTCTGCTTACCTGGTTCCACAGGGAAGCTGCGTTCTGGCTTGATCAAGAAAACAAAATGGCTGCCGGCAAAAAGCCTAAAGACCAAGGGGAAGCAATGCCTTCCCTGGGTCTTAGTGCTCAATCTCTCCCCTGTTCCTATTCCTATTCTGACTGCATGTACTGAAAGGGGTTATGCTGTTTTAATGCTTTTTTATTTTATTTTATTTTATGCTCAACTTTGGTCTCCTCTCTTTTTTTTTTTTTTCCCTCCCCTCAACAGAATTTTTTCCCCTGGTGGTGTTTGTTTGTGTGTTTGTTTTTTTTTGGGGGGGAGAGGGGAGGAGGTGTTCGGTATTTTTGGTTAAACTATCTGGCAACCCTATTAAATTGTACCAGGGGGACAAAAGCAGTTGGAATAACTCAAAGGTGCAATTTGTATCTCTCTTCCAGTCAAACACATGGGCAGACCAGATAAGTGTTCTGAGTGTTCCTGCACTGTTGACAGAAACTTGGAAACCCTTTAGCATCCGTCACTAAATTTGCCTGTTTCCTGGTTTTTATTTATTTATTTATTTTTATTTAAGAAAAAGAAAAATTACATTTGAGGGAGGAAAGATTCTAATTGTGTCTGATTTAATCTTTTGAAAACTAACCTTGAGGACTTTGCTAACTCCCACTAGTTACTTCTTACTGTTTCCATTGAATACCATAGACCAATTTGTAAAAGGCAATGAACAGTATGGCAGACCTATTTCATTTTAATGTACAGGCAGTCCCCGGGTTACGTACAAGATAGGGACTGTAGGTTTGTTCTTAAGTTGAATCTGTATGTAAGTCGGAACTGGCGTCCAGATTCAGCCACTTTGCTAACTCCCACTAGTTACTTCTTACTGTTTCCATTGAATACCATAGACCAATTTGTAAAAGGCAATGAACAGTATGGCAGACCTATTTCATTTTAATGTACAGGCAGTCCCCGGGTTACGTACAAGATAGGGACTGTAGGTTTGTTCTTAAGTTGAATCTGTATGTAAGTCGGAACTGGCGTCCAGATTCAGCCGCTGCTGAAACTGACCGC